GTCTTTACTCAGTTGGCAGTTAGTCAGACACGGTGTACTCTTTCCATTGTGTATTTGGCTAGAGTAGAAAAACTGGGCATCAGACATACCTACCTGGCCTGGAATCCTGACTTGGGTACATACTAGCTGTGAAACCTTGGGCAAATCACCTACCTTCTCTGGTCTTCAGTTTCCTCCTCTGTGAAATTAAGATAATAATCCTTGTCTCATCTGGTTTGTCCTCTGGATTTAATGAGCTAAACATATAAAGAACCAAGATAGGCTATTGGCTAACATGAGAAGATACTCCAGAAAAGATAGTTATTTTTATTATATTATTTTCTTTCTCATTTGTCTCGATCTTGTTTCCTGAACTAGATTGTAACTTCTCTGCCATGTTCAGGAAGAGAACGCAGCCTGGCAAACACCTCGATGGCAGGTGTGAGACCCTGAGCAGAGGATCCAGGTGTATGGACACCTGACCCACAGAAACTGTGAGATAATAAATCTGTATTGTTTTAAGCTGCTAACTTTGTGTTAATTTACTGCAATGGATGACTAATTTGCAACAGTTTGTCAATTTTGTTTCAAAGCACATGCAAATACTTTAGTATGCATCTCTCTCTAACAGAAGACTTTTAAAAAGCATAACCAAGATGCCAGAAAAATTAGTTCTTAATTGAGAGCAAGAACGAGAGTCTTTTTTTAAGCCATTAATTCAATGGATCTAGTATATTAACTGGACACCCCCGAAAAGTGCTTATAATAAATTGCATAAAAATAACATCGCATTGATCCCGTGAGTTAAAGGACAGGTAAGCCTATGAGAGCTTTCACTTGAAACATCTGACGCTTGCCAGTTGTTTTTGTTTTAAAATAGTGCAGCCATAAAGTACTTAATTGTCCCCATAATATGCTCATCCATCATGAAATAGCTAAAACTACTGGAACCCAATTCTAACTGTACAAGATCTGATCCATTCCCCTAACCTGCTTTGCAATGGACGCTTGTAAATTCATTTTTTTCCCCCTTAACTCTTTATAATTGCATGTCATTCTCTAATGGCCATCCCACCACGTTTTCCTTACTACAGGAAGATCTTCCCAACTGGTCCCAATTCTTTTTCTCTCCTGGATAAGCCAATCTCATCTCCCTTTGACGCTGCTTACCGAAGTTTTCTAAGAGAAATTCTCTCGACTCTGGGTTCAATCCCATCTCTACCACCGGGGGGCTTTGTGATCCCTGGCAAGCAGTTGAGCGTTCGCTAAACTGGATACAATAGTGAAGATTAGAAAAGAACATGGGTAACGTGTAAATACCCCCACAAAGAAGGCACAGCCGTTCCCCACCATTCCCTTTGTTCGTTCCCATTTCCAACCACGGAGCACCAGAGATGCCCAGCACCATGCCTCGCTCGCCCTCGTCGCGGGGGATGCAGGGATTTGTAGTGTTTGGGTCCCCAAGTCGTGTTTCCTCTCGGAGCCGGCCGGAGAGAGGAAGAACTACACATCCCAGTGGGCCATGAAAGGAAAGTGGGGCTCGGAAAACCGAGCGTCGCCGCCCGGCTGCCTTCGCTCTCTGCTGCCCACGAGCTGTGTCCACGACCCGAAGGCGCAGACCCTGCGGCAAAGCCAGGGAGGGGGCGAGCACAGGAGCCGACAGGCGGGGATTGTCTGGCTGGGCGGGGACGCGCGGGCGGTCCCTCTGCCGCCGTGGAGCTCCAGGGAAAAGGAGAGAAATAAAGCGAGCAAATTGTGAGCGCCCGTGTCGGAGAAGTGAGAGCGGGCCCGAGAGGCAGCAGCCCACGCGGAGCGCGACTGCCACGGGGCTCAGGCGGGACGCAAGCGCGCCGCTCCGCCCCTCTCCCCGCAGGAATCCTGGAAACCCGGCCCCGAGACCCCCGCGCGCGGCCCCCATCCCGGAGTCCGGCCTGTCTCGTGCCGTGCCTCCCCATCCCGTCGCCGGGGAGCCCGCCCCATTCCTGCGCAGCAGTCGAGTCCCCCCGAACTCGACCACGCGCCCCTCTGGGGGGAGGGTCACCTCTCCGCTCGGGTTTCAGGTCCCCGGGAATCGCAAGAACGGGCTTGCGTGTTGCTGGGTGGGAATGTGTGTCCCGAGGCTGTGGCAGCTGCCGGGAATAAGCCCGAAAGACCGAAGCGAGGGGCGGCCAGAAGGCGCCGGAGAGCGCACGCCGCGGCGCGGCCGCGCCGTCCTCGGGAGGCGCCCGAGGGAGCCCAGCGCCCTCTCTGGGACCGGCGGGGTCGGCCTGGAGGGCGCGGGGGTGGGGGCCGGGCCAAGCCGGCGCGGCGATTCGCCGGGAGGAGGAGCGGGAGGCGNGGGCGATGGCTTTCCAGATGTGGGCATTCTGAAAACAGAAGCTGGGCTCTTACCTTTGGAACCAGACTCGACAACCCAGCGCTGGGCTCTCTGGGGTCTCCGCCAGGGTTTACTTTTCGTTGCGGTAAAATTATTTCTCATCACCGATAGGAAGCTTCTCCTTTGACCATAATGTTTACTGTTTTGGAGCACACTTGATATGTCATCAAAAAATGGTTTGGGAGCCTTTGTACCTCTCAAGAAGCATACTTTTTTCTTCTTGAAAACTGAGTGCATGCTTTTTTGCCTCTCCACTAACAAGTGTCTGTCTGTATTTCGGGAGTCAGTTTTGGCTTGGACGTCAGGCACATTCCAGGTTTATCCAGCACCTGCAGGGGGAAGCAGCATGGACATGCTTCTTGAAAAAACGCTCTTATCAGTGTGTGAGGAACTGTGGGCCCAGAAGCCGGGGGCCTGGCCCAGGCAATTATCTTGTGACTTCAGCAAGGCTGCCTGCGTGCACATGGCTGAAACCTGCTGAGAGCCCTGTCCTGGATTTTATTGTGAAGAAACACCAGACAAACCCAAATTGAGTGACACTGTACAAAATATGGCCTATAATGATGTTCTAAAATGCCGAGAGCAAGAAACTAAAAGAGGGTGGGACCGTTCTATATTGAAGGAGGCTCAAGGGGCTTAATGACTGTGCCATGTCTGATCCTGAACTGGGAGAAACTAACTATAAAGGACATTGTTAAACGATGAAATTGGAATATGGGCCGTATCTACAGAGTGCCAAAAAACATATACATTTTAAGAAAGAAAATAACTATTAGAATTACGCTGATGGTAACTACTTTGAACACCTCTTGTAATTGCAGAAGTCAAACAGGACTTGGATTCATCTTTTGTTATCGGTATATATTATTACAATTTTAATACAGTTTTTTTCCTTTCTTAAAATGTGTATAATTTTTTTTTAGCACCCTCTGTATGTGTGTATATATGTTTACTTATCATCACATGAGCCTGGAGAAGGACATATACCAAATTGTGAACACTGGTTACCTTGGAAAGAGTAGGGGTGGGGGGTTAAGAGGAAAAACACTACGATTATAAAAAAAGATACAGTACGAAAGCATGCATGATACGATTCCATTTTTATTAAGTGATACAGATATATGTGTATGTATGCATAAATGAATTATATAAGGATAGGTAACAATGTTAATGATTAAGATGATGGGAATTGGAACACTTCTATTTTTGATGTTTATGTGTAATATTTTTTCCTTATATTTTTTCAACGCACATGTATTTTTTTTAATTAAAATACTAAAAAGTTATTTTTTAGTGTTTAAAAAAGGCAAGAAAAAGTCACTTGGGGAAAATGACAAGAACATTCTGGATTAATTTTTTTCTGCCTCATCCAATTTTTTTGTTGTAGTGCAGAGTTTATTACTTTAAACACTTATGTTTTAACACAAGATTTACCCAGATGTGCTGAAATGTAAAAATAGAAGCAAGCTCTCTGGGTTGGAAGGAATTAGGGTGTATGTTTTTCTGAGAAATTTTGTTGGTATTGGAGTTTCCAGTTACTTCCTTCCATCTTAGAAGTCTCAGAGAAGTCCCTTTCTGGCAGTTTCAAAGTTCTCCTTCCAGGACTATGTCCTTTTGACCTCTACGCNATACAAATTCATAATGAATAATCCCTCTGATATCAAAAAAGATTAGCAACATTGTTGCAACAAGTTCACAAACTTAATTGTCAGACCGTGTCTATTCTGATAACATAGATGGTATGTCATCCTAATGCGATGCGGCTAAGATGAAGGAAGAGCAGTGCCTGGCACACTTTCTAACTACATGCCTTCTCCCTCTCTCTCTCCTCTCATTGTCTATTGAGTTTTTTGGGGTTTTTTTTTTGTGTGTGTCCTCATCCCAAGAGAACCTGACAAAGAGGTAGGGAAACCAGACAAGAAAGTATGTGCCCTGTAGTCAAATGGGTTTACAAACATTTTCTTGTCCCATATGGAACCTTTCTAATAAATTATGCTGGTTGCTGCCATCCCCTTTGTTGTTCTAGAGAGGCTACGAAGTGAGCTACGAAGTGATTTCACTGTCAAGACCTTTGGTTTACAACATCTTTCCCATGAAGCAGAATGGATCCAGAAGCATCTTAGGCACCGTGCACAATACAGCAGCTTGTTACATGTTGCTAAGGTACCCTTCTCGGGGTTTCTAGGGTAACTGGCATCTCCGCATCCCAGGGCTGGTGTTCAGGCTATTCTTAGTATGATGGTGACAGTTTGCTTCTATACCTGAAGGTCCGTAATTCTTTTCACTATTCATGGCTTTGCTGCCTTCCTTCCTCGCTGCCCATTGTTTCCACAGGGCCTTACAGACTGGCCCCAGCACTCCTTCAAACTGCTCCCAGGGGAAGCACAACCTCCCAGAGTCCCAATGCAGCACATTCCTGCCAGACCTCCGCGCAGCGCTGCAGCCTTTAACAATGGTGAGGACCCCCTGCTGCTCCTGGAAACTTGCCCTTCATCAGCTTCTTTGGAATTACATCTATCCTGGGTTTTCTCCCCTCCCACCAATCCTTGTTTCTCGCCTCTGCTCGCTCCCACCTCTATCCCTTAAATGCCAGCATTCCCCAAGGTTCTGCCCTGAGCTACATTCTTTTGTTGCTCTATAAAAAGTCCTGACAATTAAGTTCCTAAACTAGTTGCAATGATGTTCCTAACCTTTTTTGATAGCAGAGGGTTATTCATTATGAATTTGTATCAGCTGGACAGTTAACCAAGTTTACTATTTGGAAGTGCTGAAAAGGCTGCGTGAAAAAGTTAGACGACCTGCTTTTCACCAACAAT